CAACTAAACAGAAAGGGTAAGCAGAGAAAAATTGCGAAATAATTAAAAAACCAAAAAAGCCAAAGATTAGAAAATAACCTTAAGTAAGAGGAAGAGGTTGTTGAGACAGCTTAGCAGAGACAAAAGGCACTGAAGAACAGAATCATCCATATTCTCACACTGTAAGATAAGGTAGATAAAAAGCCAATTAATCTTTGCACTGTATTTTGAAAAACATATTTGAGGGAAGACTGAATTGTGGATGCAGCCACTGAACACAGCAAGCCATGCAATAACCAAGTAACTGAAAGTAACTGAGAAAGCATATATGAAGCCATTTCTAAAGAGAATAGAAATTTCTTAAACCTTTACAAATTTTATGCCTTTTTTTTTTAACTGGGAGAGTGCAGAGCTCTCGCTTTGATCCATCGTCAATCCATTACTTAAGGAAAAAGTTCCCATCAGTGCCACTAGGAGTAAGTTGGTAAATAAAGTCAAATGGATGTTACCCTGTGAGAGGTGCCTGAGGTTTTAGACAAGGCAAGAGTTGCCTCTGAAACAAAAACATCTTCAGGGAAAGTGGTCAATAATTCTTAACTTTTACACAAATAGTTGGCCTAGGCCTTAGGATAATACCTAAGATTAGGTAATCTTAGGATAATACATAAATGTGCTACCAGATCTTGTACAGTGTACTATGAAAACATGTGCTTCTTTCAGTAAATATTAAATGTTCAGTGCACAATTCAAAAACAATAGCCAATATGACCTCATAATGTAAGAACAGAATTTGCAAGGGTCTGAAAAATTTTAATTCTAAATCCAAAAGAATTCTAGAAGGCAAAAGGTGAGAGTGAGCAACAGCTGAGTCATGCAAAGCAATGATTAGCAAGAGATTCATATTTTAGTATGCTAGCAACGGATTTAAGTGCATTTTTATTGTATTATTTACTCCAAGACTTTTGGTAATTCTTATTTGACACTGGAAGTTGGGGAAAGCTTTTAGCCTGGTAGAAGTGGCACCAATCTTTATGACTGGATGAAGTAATAAAATATAGTGCTTACAGGTGTAAGATATTTAGGTAATGAACATACCTTAAGCTGACTGTTAAATTCATCCATTTCAGCAAGTTTAGATGCAGTTTCCTTCTCAAGGGCATCTAATTGTTCTTTAAGTCTTTGGCATAATTCTTCTTTTTCTAGAGATTTCTTGTTCACTGAACTGACTCCTGTACCTGCATAAGGAAAGACAAACAATTTTACAAGAATTTCTGTTTTCCCTAACTCCTTTATTATTTTCCTAATACACACAAATTCCCAACCTCTTTCCTCACAAAAATTCCTTGATTTACCTTTTCTATTCACACACAGCATGAAGAAACAGCCCCAACACTGAATTGAGACATACAGGCATTACATGGAATACATACAGAATAACTTGCAATTTGGGTGTGTTTTTCTTAATATCGGACCAATTCATAGCAATCTTCTCTAGACTTCCAGTGTGGTTTGATGTAAGGACCAATGTAAACTTTAGATAAATTAATTCCCTTGAGTCTACACTACCAAAAACCAGATCAATTTTAATGCTATGGGCCACATAGTCCATATACATAAAGTTTCAAGACAAAGTTTCAAGCAAAATCTATGTTTTCTTGCAAAAATGTGTTTGTTTGCTCCTTATCTAGAACGTGAGGGGAAAAAATGGAATGTAGGTGAAACAATGGCTTTAACTGAAAAAAATATAAAAGTGAAAGTGTTATTAACACATCTTGTTTACAAGAGATGAAAAGTCAGCAGTGCAAACAGAAGAGAATTCACTTGCAGGCACTTACTCTGAGTGTTTTCAAGTTGAGCATTTTTTATCCTTTCACTTAGCAACTGCTTTTCAGGAACCAAATAGATTAGTTTATTCTGATAATCCTGTGGATATTGAAGTGAACATGACAAATTTTTAGTATTGTTTATAAATCAGCAAGTAAAAATGGGTGAATTTTCAAACATAACTTCAACTCATGTTAATGAAACATGGATGCAAGTTGTCTTTATGGAGTAAAGGAAAAAAATGACCTCTTTACTCTTAATAGAAATAGTATTAAAGTTGAAAGCATTTGACCCGAAAGCATTAACACAGCTGGAAAAAATTTTAACAGACATCTTAAAAGTGTAAATATTATCATGAGACCATTTAAGTTGACTGCCCTAAACCTAATATAAAACAGTAACAACATGAAAAGATGTTTCCCTGATGTGCAGAAGCATTAATAAAAATACAGTATGGGATGATTTATGGTAGTCAATTGATTTGAAATAATTTATGTCTTGTTATTCAAAGAGAGGGAAAAAAAAAAAGAAAAAAGAGCAGAAAAGTAATTCAGCCCAAAGATTAACTTGTTCTGAATACAGGACAACACTCCTCATAAAAATTTGAGTCTGGAGCCATAAAGGAATTCATAACTGAAGAGAAGTCCATATTATCAGTTCACAAAAGAACAGTTGCGGTTTTGACAACTGTTCTCATTTAACCATCAGCTCGCTGTACTACATATAACCATTTCTTTAACACCACACATAAGCTAAAAACCTCTGCCATGCTGACAGCCTTGCCTGTCTCCTCTCTCCACCATAATCCAACTGATTCCCTATTCCTCCCTATGGGGAAGCATTATCAGCAGTGTGATGGAAACACAGAACACAGTAAAGGAAAATGACAAACTTAACAGCAAGTTACATACCTCAAGCTGTTGTTGCAGCTGCTTGACTTCCATGATTCCTTGGTCATATTTCCTATCTAAAGCCTCCAGTTCAGTTTTTCTAGCTTGCTTTTTGCTACGAATATCTTGCAATCTGCCTGAGATTTGCTTGTGTTTGTCCGTCTAGAAAGAAATCAAAGACAGATTATACCACATATGGAAAAAGTCACTTTGCTAAATCTGTGGGCAGATCAGTTCACAATCAGTTCTTTAAAATAACCCAAAATACCTGCTTTAGATTCCTCATCCAGAACAGACTGAAACTCCTAGTGGGCCATTAATGCAGACATTAAGATTTGCATAGTTTAAAATACCTTATTTCAACACATGCAGTGAAATTCCTGTCTTACCAGAGCTTCTAATTCAAGATTGAGGCTCTTCTTTTTAGAGGTCAACTTGACAATTTCTTCTTGTTCCCTGTTCCGTTGATTAAGAAGTTCTTGGCGACGAATTCTCTCCCATTCCAGTCGTCGCTGGCGCTCAAGTTCTTGCTTTGCTGCCTGTACAAAAATTACAGGACCTTAAATTACAACAGAGATACAGAACTCAAAGACCGTAATTTAAAGTAATGTGCTCTATTTCTGAACAGCATAACAGCAACACAACATAATGTCTTTTGTAAAGTGCTTTTATATACTTCAGCATCAAGGAAAGCAGGAGGTGATCCCATAAGATTCTTCATGTCATGCTCCCAAGTCTAGATGAAGAAAAGCTACATAATTCTAATTGCAGCTATGGAATACTGCCCAAAAAATAGCACATTGACAGATACTGCTCGAAACCTCCTCTGAGTATTTCACAGAAATACATAAAACAGGCAAGTCTGAGGCATGTGCTGAGACACCAAGTAGTAGCGAATTTGTCTCAAGTTCAGCTGTCCAAATGTTATCAATTATGAATTCAGTACAATCTCATTTGGAATACAAATTTTTGCAAAAATCCAAGAAAATCTCATCTGCCCTGTGAAGTATCTGAAAATCTTTAACCCATGCCAACACTCGATTCATCCATAACAGACACAGTGTTTTCTGACACAAATGACATTCTCTCTCCAAGACCATCTGCCAGTAGCCATGTGAGGAGACAGAACCAAGGGCAGCATTCAAATCCTGAACGCTCAGCCAGGTGGATACTGAACGATTGTACACATTCCTTAGAGCGTTAAAAAATAATTTCAAGAAAACAACCTCCCGCCTTTCTATTTCTTTCCTCCTTTCTTCCTCCCTTTGTCTTTCCAGCTCTCGTTGTCTCTCCAGCTGCCTTTCCATTTCCAGTTGTCTTTTCCGTTCTTGTTCCTGACGTTCCCTCTCCCTTCGCTCTTGTTCTTCTCTCTCTTTCTGAGCCTTGCGCTCAGCCTCTCTCTGCTGCTGCTCCAGCAGGACCTGGCGGCGTTTCTCCAGCTCCATATTTCCCCTCTCGTAGTTGGCTTTCCTTTTGTCCTCAAATGTCACTAAAATAAGGAAAGGTTGTTATTTCTGTCCTGTGCAAAACACCGCTCTCAAACAAACACCTCACTTATGCCACTAAAGATAGATACTTTTTGGCAAGATCTGGATGTTCGGTCATGGATGATGTAAGTATATTGCATTTCTGAAACTATTATTTTCCTGTTCAAAAATACCTCTAAATTTTCCTAATTCTATTCCAATTGAAACAAAAAAAAAAAAAAAAAAAAAAAAAAAAAAAAAAAAAAAAAAAAAAAAAAAAAAAACAAAAAAAAAAAAAAAAAAAAAAAAGGGAAAAAGAAAAAAAAAAGAGTTGCAGTTTACAAATGACCACAAAAATGACTTGAATGTTAGAGGAAAGCCTCTGAATCTAAAAAATGAAAGAGGAAAGAATGTTAGAGGAAAATATACTAGAACAGCTTTTATAAGCTGGCAGAAGACTGACTGCTGTTAAAAAGGTTTTCCAATGTGCAAGAAACATTAAAATACAGACAAAAGGCTTAGTTTTTAAGGGTGTTCCCTGTAAGTCCTCCTGGAGTTAAAACCATCAGAAACCAAGACAGGATCAAGCTCAATTACTGCACACAAGGATAAAAAGAGATACAAAGCAATGGTTTAGGCCCCCAGCAACCACCCTGCCAAAAAGAGAGGCAAGTCCTGTCTCGCAGTGTGCATCTAAGAGACCTGTGCAAGTCGCATCAGAGTCAACAGTACAATCTGTGTTTGTGCAAACTGCATCCAGTTTTTCGAGAATTAAATTACACTGGAACCCCTTGCTTTCAGAATGTCCAGAACAAAGTAATGCCAGGAAGTTTCAACTGAAAAAAATTTGCAGTAGCCTGGCAGTATTTGGCCATGAAGGATTTATTTTCCAAAATTCATTATTAATCAGCACAATTCTCCTTTCCTACAGCTAAAAATAACCCCTGTCTCTGCCTGCTCAATTCTATTAGGTGTAACAGGCTGACTATATCCACTTAACAATCTTCCTACCTTCTAAGTTAAAAGGGATCTAGCTCCTGAAAAAAGCTCTCTACAGATTTGATTATGTCTTCCACTTTCTACAGGTTTCAGTGCCCTTTAGAAACAGCCCCGTACATTAAGGATGTGTTTTACCTGGCTGTTTTTTCTGTGGCTCCTCCTCTTGCACATGCTGGTAAGATGGCAGAGTTCCATTTATATTTTCAGTATATTTTCCACTCCTGGAGGGGGAAAAAAACCCAACCCATCATTGTTAGAGAAACAGCACAGTTATGTCCAGTGTGTTACGTTTCACTGCCCTCGGTGATTACCTGAAGGAAGGTGGCACCAGTTCGAGAGGCAGAGTCAGTGGCAGTGGCTGCCCAGCTTTGGCCATGTCAGTGAGGTGCATGGCCAGAACAAACTCATCAGCCTTCAGCTGCCCATCTCCATCAATATCAGCCAGTGACCTGCAGGGTTTTAACAGCAACACCAATTAGGACTAAACAGCACAATCCCTCACGAGTGACAGCTGAACCTATTTACTGTAATTTTTAAAACAGAGAACTCCTGTGAAATGTTCTGGTAAAAATACTATTAATAACATGAATAATTGATGAAGGGGGATAATATTTTGTTAATAATGTACTGTTATCCACATCATAGAATCCCAGAATGGTTTGGGTTGGAATGGATCCTAAAGATCATCCAGTTCCAACTCCTGCCATGGGCAGGGACACCTTCCACTAGATCAGGTTGCTCAGAGCCCCATCCAGCCTGGCCTTGAACATTTCCAGGGCTGGGGCAGCCACAGCTTCTCTGGGCAACCTGCGCCAGTGCCTCACCACCCTCACAGTAAAGAATTTCTTCCTAATATCCACTCTCTGAACCTGGTCTCTCTGTTTGAAGCCATTCCTCTTTGTTCTGTCACTGCAGGCCCTTGGAAATAGTCTCTCTTCATATTTCTTGTAGGCTCCCTTCAGATACTGGAAAGCTGCAATTAGGTTAGCCTGAAGCTTTCTCTTTTCCAGGCTGAACAATCCCAATTCTCTTACTAGTTTTCCTAAAGTACTGCAAAAAAGATAGCAAAGGGTGAAAGATCTCTTGACTTATTGCATCACCAATAGAAGAACTGGGAAGAGAATCCAGGACTGTTCTTAACCAGCTCAGAATGCTAGAAAACAATTTTTTTAAAGCAAAATAAAGCATTATATAAAATTACATCAAATTCTACAACAGGAACCTTTGCACGGAATTCTTTTTTCCCCTTGTGTCTCCTTGACAGTGCAGGGAAGATGGGTAGGAAAAGGATCACCTACACTCTCTAAGGAGACGGTGATTGTATCATCAGCTGACAAAATGTTTCCCATGCAATTGGGGAGTGGTGGGGGGGAGAGGTGTGTGGGAAAACAGTGAAATGGTTCCAGAGACGCAGGCAAGAAAGCAGGATCCTTTTTCAAAGAACTATCTATGTACATACAATTGCTGGAACGTATCCTTAGACTGCAATTAAGTGAAATGCTTAATAAAATAACTAATCACTAAAAAAAGCAGTAAAAAAACCCTGCTATGAAAAACAAAACAAAACAAAAAACGCCCATCATCCACACACATAAACCACAGTGAAAAACAAAAGCAGGAGATCATGAAATGTGATTTTTGTTATGTTCACACATCAGCAATATTCACATATAACAGTACCTTTATTACAGTAGTTACCATGAATATAACACCCAGTAGAAATATTAAAAAATCCTTACTTTGGGCCAAACTGAAACTGGGGCTGTTAATCCTCTCTACATGGGCACACAGATCCCCTTGCATTGGCTGCTGATACCTCCAGGACACGCACCCAGGAGGAAAACAGAGCCTACACACCTGCTTTATTCCCCCACACTCCAGAG